ATCCTTGTATTATCTTGAAATCTTAAAATGATTATTTTAAAAAATTATTTTTTTCCCCAAGGATCAGTGATCAGTTCTATTCTATATGGCATTTTTTTTTTTCCAGAAAATTTCAGCTGGTCAGGTGCAGTGGCTCATACCTGTAATCCCAGCACTTTGAGGGGCCAAGGTGGGTAAATCACTTGAGCCCAGGAGTTTGAGACCAGTTGGGCAACATGGCAAAACCCCTTCTCTACAAAAAAATTAAAAATTAGTTGGGTGTGTTGGTGCCTGCCTGTAGTCCCAGCTCCTCGGGAGACTGAGGTGGGAGGATTGCTTAAGCCTAGCAGGTGGATGTTGCAGTGAGCCAAGATCACACAGCTGCACTCTACCCTGGGCGCCAAGTAAGACCATGTCTCAAAAAAGAAAAAAAAGAAAAGTTCAGGTGTTCTGGTTTACCACTGCTATCAGATTTCCATGTACTTTATTTCATATTGTTTGCCTTCATTGGGGCATATGGGAAATAAACATACCAATACACACACTGTATCCTTACTAATCTCCAAACAAGAGTGTTTTTAAAAGGATAAGCTTATTCCCAGAACTGTCTGAGGAATACTAATATTCCTTTTTCCACTTTTCCAGCAGTCCCAAAGAATTCATTGTCCTCAAGTCAAACTTGGATATATATGAAGGCTGATTTGGTCAGTCGTGTGAATCTACCACTTTCTCATTTGCTTATTGGCAAGTAGAGCATCTCTGGCTCTTAGACAGACTGGATGTTTAAGGCTCTGGGCCATCCATAACCTTCATTATTTTGACCTTCCACATTTTCTTTCTTTTGCCCTTCCTTCCTTCCTTCCTTCCTTCCTTCCTTCCTTCCTTCCTTCCTTCCTTCCTTCCTTCCTTCCTTCCTTCCTCCCTCCCTCCCTCCCTCCCTCCCTCCCTTCCTTCCTTCCATGCATCCATCGTTTCCTTTCCCCATTTTGTATTTAAATGATTTTGTACTGGCCAGGCACAGTGGCTCACGCCTGTAATCCCAGCACTTTGGGAGGCTGAGGTGGGCGGATCACGAGGTTAGGAGTTCAAGACCAGCCCATCCAACATGGTGAAACCCCGTCTCTACTAAAAATACAAAAAGTAGCTGGGCGTGGTGGTGCATGCCTGTAATCCCAGCTACTCAGGAGACTTAGGCAGGAGAATCACTTTAACCTGGGAGCCGGAGGTTGTGGTGAGCCAGGATTGCGCCATTGTGTGCTCCAGCCTGGGTGACGGGGTGAGATTCCTCAAAAAAAAAAAAAAAAAAAAAACTTTTGTTCTAAAATGATCAATATCAGATTTTATGGCCTTGTCATAGGGAATGAGGGATAATTAGCCTGATTTTCCTATGTCCTCCTTTATTAGTAGTCCTACAAATGGATAAAATGTCTTTGATATTCTTAACTGTGTTACTACTTGGTAATTTACTTACTGTAGGTTTCTGACAGCTATTAATAGTTGTGTAGTTTATGTCTAAGGCTGTTTTGCCGTTTTTATTTGAAGAATTCCAAAGAATAAAAAGATTAGTTTGACCAACAATTTTAATGAATAAATGCCTCCCTCCCTCCCTCCCTCCCTCCCTCCCTCCCTCCCTCCCTCCCTCCCTCCCTCCCTCCCTTCCTTCCTTCCTTCCTTCCTTCCTTCCTTCCTTCCTTCCTTCCTTCCTTCCTTCCTTCCTTCCCAGAGCTCGCTCTGTTGCCCAGGCTGGAGTGCAGTGCCATGATCTGGGCTCATTGCAAGCTCCACCTCCTGGGTTCACACCATTCTCCTGCCTCAGCCTCCCAAGTAGCTGGGACTACAGGCGCCCACCACCACGCCCAGCTAATTTTTTGTATTTGTATTTTTAGTGGAGACAGGGTTTCACCATGTTAGCCAGGATGGTCTCGATGTCCTGACCTTGTGATCTGCCCGCCTCAGCCTCCCAGAGTGCTGGGATTACAGGCATGAGCCACCGCACCTGGCCAATAAATGTATTTTAATAATATGACAGATTGTATTTATTTGTGCTTGAATGAATGAACAACCTTCTTTCTTTGATGATTTTTGAGAATAATGCTGTCAATAATTTGCCCACAAAACTGAGATTTTGTAAATAGAAGGAAGTCTAAGGGAAAACATTAAGGTCTCCAGCTATCTTTGTGCGTGATACTAAGGATTTTAAAAGATAAATGTGATAAACTATGTTTAGTTTTAATAACTCAAGTTAGTGGAAGACTTTAAAAAGTAAGCCTTTTAAAAATAAAAATGTTATTTATTTTAGAAGATACCTCCTGAAGTTAATTGACTGATACTTGGCTTAAGTGACTCCAAGACTTCAGTTAAAAATTTGCATTACCTTCCTCTAACCTGAGTTTAAGAAGTCACATAACAAGAGTTTACTAACATTTTTATGACTCTTTAACATTTCAGAGCCTTTTTATAGACATTATTTGTTCCTCAAAATAATTTCATAAAGTAAGTTCAATGAGTAATAGTAGTATTCCCATTTGGAAAATAACCTGCCAATGGGGCACAGTTGGTAAGTGACAGAATTAGTATTTAAGTCTGTCTTTGCTTTTCGTTATGAAGAATTTTAAGTGTATAATGAATTATTTGGTGCATTCCCAAATACTCATTATTTAGTGATATAAGTAGTGCTTAGCTATTTGTATTTGCTATACTTGCTTTAACTTTTATTTTGCTATAGTATATTATAAAGCAAATCCCAGACATTTAACTTTTACCTGTGAATATTTTAGTGAGTGTATATCTCAAAAAAAGGACATTATCTCAATAATCCCAATACCATTATCATAGCCACCAAAATTAGCAGTAATTTTTTTAATATCACAAGATACTCAATCCTTATTTAAATTTCTCTGGGTTATCCCTGAAATGACTTTTTATAGTTGGTCTGTTTTTGAATCATGACATAAAACAAGGCTCATGGTATTAGTGGTTGTATCTCTTAAATCACTTCATCTACAGCAGAAACTCCCACTTAGCTTTTCATTCTATTGACTTATTGAGGAGACCAACAGGCAGGTCGTTCGATTTTTAATTCAGTATTCCTTCTGTTATTCTAAGCTGCCTCAAATGTAAGTTTTAAATCTAAGTAAAGAAATGAATAAAATAAATAAATAAAATAAATAGAAGACAATTCTATGCCTAGTCTATAAAATGAAAATATAAATTTTTAATTTAAAGAAAAGGCCCACTGAGTAGTTTATTGTAACTAAAATGTTGCTGTACTAGCTAATTTCCCAAACAGCTTAAACATCAAAGCATCCAAAAGAACTATGTTCTTGTTACTTTTATGCTTGTGTAACATTTTCGCTAAATACAGTCAATAAGAATGAGGACGATATAAAGAAAGCCTAGTCTTTGCCAGTAACATAGGTGTAGTCCAGTTTTTCTTTTCGACTGACTAGAGAAATATAAACGGTAAATCTTAATTCTGTTACATATTCTGTTGTTGTATATAACAGGAAGCTTTCAGGCATTTGTTGTTTGTAAATACTTCATCTTTATTGCTCTTACCAATGAACAGCTATTAAATATTCATTACATAGTATCAACAGTAATAGTATTGATTTCTAAAATATTAGTATGTTTCATGCTTGTGTATCTCTCATGCCTTTATAATCCATCTCAGTGTTACCCTAGACTAAACTCCCAACTTCCAGAAATGGCACCAACAAACAATAGGGGAGAAGGTAGGAAGAGCTGAGAGTTGTCTGAGCTCAGGGCAGTAGAGGTTAGAACTGTCATAGAACTTGATACATGTTACCCTGTGGCTTATGGCCTGGCCCAGCAGGCCTGGTTGACACCCTCTCTGGCTCAACCAGTAAGGCTTAGCATTTTTTCTTACTGTTCTCTACATCGAGAGACATTAGTCATCCCATGAGGATGCATCACTGTTGTTTTACAAACCAGCATTGGCAGAAAAAAGAACTTTAATCTTTTGAATACATCTACTCTAACATTTTCATCTCTGTACCTGCAATATCCTTGTAGGTTGCCTTTCAAGGAAGTGTATCAAGAGAAAGAGAAGGCATGGGGGAGAAAGGCAGCATGGGTAAATAAAGATGCATTATTTCCAGATGCTCAGTTGCACTGCCTGTGTTTGTTATGCAGTGTTCGCTAAAGGATTTAAGGATGAAGCATAGGAATCTGCTGTGTAAAGCTAATTCCCTGGCTTTTCCTAATGGTGTATAAATTTCTCATTCCCTAAGGCACAGTATTATTTCCAGAGTTTTCTTTGGTTTTCATAACTAGTTTATCTGAGTTCTGTCCTCAGAATATAGTAAATGAAAGAAATGAAATGAATCTACAAAAATGCTTTTTAAAATATCCTCAAAAAGTTATTTACACATAAAATAATTAAATATTTTGGCTCTTATGCAACCTATTGGTTAAAGTACATCTTTAATGTACAACTATAACTAAGTTATAACTAATTGTATCCTTGTATTTCAAAGACAGGTACTTGTCTGGCTCCTCTCACCCCAAAGGAATGACTACAAAGTAAAGGAAATTGGTTTTAAAAAAAAGCTTGAGATTTCAGAGAAAGGAACATTTACATAATAGCATATCTCAGCCTATTTCTTGAAATGTATTGTTTCTCTTGCTCTCTTTCCTTTTTTTTTTTTTTTTTTTTTTTTGCATGTATCTAGTGTTAAGAAAATATAGTGTGGCAGCTGTTTGTGTACAGAATAACACCACAATGGATGGGTAAAATCTCACTTGCTAAGAACCTAAGTACTTACCTATTTTAATGTTGTGCAACCTCACCACCTGTGCAAGGGCAGGCCTCATTTTTAATAGTCTGATCATGTCACATAATCTTGATGGAAGTAATTGTATCAACGGTTCAGGAAATTCAAATGGCCTCTTCTTCATTCTCCTTTGAATGGGTCAGTGGTGTAAGGGCATTACTGACAGAAGCAGAAGGTGATTTTATTTCAAGAGTTATTGATTCATGCTTCCCTGTTTTATTTCAGGTGGATCATCCATGCCATGGAGTACGAACTTCAGATCCGTGGTGGAGACAAGCCAGCCTTGGACTTGTATCAGCTATCACCTAGTGAAGTTAAACAGCTTCTGCTGGATATTCTGCAGCCTCAACAGAATGGAAGGTAATGAGGGCCCCTTGTTACCTACATGATACTCTGGATTTACAATAACTTCATAATGTTTAGCTTGATATATCTATGAAATTGATAAGATATTAATAAGAAATAAAATGCAACAGAGTATCAGAGGCCACCCCACTAGATAGAAAGTGTAAATAGAAAAACCAATCAAAATGTCTCTCTTCAATTATTATTTTGCACTGATTTTAATTTTATACTTTTTTTCCAATGTAGTGTATAAGCATTTCTTCATTTTTATTATTCTGTGCAAAATGTAACACCTCATACCACTTTCTGAAGTCAATTTTCTTTTCTGAACCTTTGTGGCACTCACCATCTCCTCCCAGCATTTTGGCAGATAGGATTGAGTTTGGTAACGTTATTTAAATATGTTGCCTGTGGCTTTGTCTCCCTAAATAGACTTCAGTGCTAAACCCTTTCCTAGACTTGTGCTAAGCTTACACTAAGAACAAAACAAATACTTGTGGATTGTGTTGACTTGAAGAACTTTTTCATCAGAAATAGCTTTAATGTAAGTATTTAGGAAAGTATTTATTGAGTATGTTTGTGCCTGGCATTTACCAAACTGATATAGTTATATGCCTAGAAAAATCTGCCTAGGCCTTTTACAAAAGCTGTCTTCCACAAAAGTAGATTTGAATAAATGGAAAGGCATCCTTGTTCTTAAATAGGAACATTCATGTTATAAAGATGTCAGTTGTAAATATAATTCAATTCCAATAACATTTCAACAAGCTCTTTTTATGAGGTTAAGACAAGTTAATACAAAACTTCATATGGAAAAACCAAACATATAAGAATAATCAGAAAAACACGAAAGAACGATTTGCCCTACTAGACATTAAAACATACTATAAAGCCTCTGTAATTAAAACAGTGTGATATTGGTACACAACAGACAGAAGAGTTGAACAGAATAGAAAGTCCAGAAATAGACCCCCAAGTATATATGGAAATTTAATGTGTGACAAAGGCCAAGGATGGACTTTTTAAATAGTCATGAGACAACTGGATAGCCATTTGCAAAAAGATAAAATCACACCTGTAGTTTATACCACACATAAGAATACACTCCAAATAGATTAGAAATCTAAATGTAAAAAATGAAATAATGCAAAACAAGAAGACATGATGAAATTCCTTTTTGCCCTTAGTATGGGAAAGACCTTCTAATAATGGCTCAACCCAAGGACAACAAAAGAAAAAGTTAATGAGACTATGTGAAAATTAAAAACAGCATTTTGTATGGCAAAAAGTAGACAACCAATGTCAAAAGACAACTGAGAAACTGGAACAAAATATATGCCACAAAGAGCTTATAACCAAGAATTCTTAAAAATTGAGGGAAAGACAACCAAAATCCCAGTGGAAAATAGGAAGAAACATTCTTACATACCCATGAGTCTATGCTGATATAAACAGACAAATGGGAGTGAAGAGACCCTTTCTTATAATAGAATTCCAATTATAAGTGTAGATAGGATGACAGAAATAGACAAATACAACAGTTATTGTTGCTGGCAAAAACCATCATTGCATGGAAGTATGATGAAAAATGGAGAGTTTCATCATTCCAATGTGTTTCCACTCAAGATACTTACAAATTGTAAAGGAAAAAATAGTGACTTTACAGTGGAGAAACCCAGCTGACTCTACCTTAACCAAAAGATTAAGGTGAACATCGCCAGTAATAAGACAGATGAACATCATATAACCCCTGATATGATGCATTGAAAGGGGTATGATGGGCCAGGCATGGTGGCTTAAGCTTGTGATCCTAGCATTTTGGGAGGCTGGGGCAGGAGGGTCCTTTGAGCCCACAAGTTTGAGACTAGCCTGGGCAACATTCCAAGACTCCATCTCTATAAAAGTAAGTAAATAAATAAGAAAAGTGCACAACATCACTTCTAAATACTCTTGGCAAAAATGCATGTCAGTCCATTCATCAGGAAACATCAGACCAACCCAAACTGAGGTACATCTTACAAAAAAACTGACATTTCTAAAGTGTCAAAGTTATGAAAGAATAAAGGACAACCAAGAAACTGCTAGAGGAGCCTCAGGAAACATGGAAACTAAACACCAATCCTGGATTGGATTCTGGACCAAAACAAGAATATTAGTGGTAAAATTGACAAAATGAATTAGATCCATAGATTAATTAATAGTATTGTATCATTGTTTACTTCCTGGTTTTATACTATGGTTATGTAAGATAACAAGAGTAGGGGAAGGCCAGGCACGATGGCTCACGCCTGTGATCCCAACAATTTGGGAGGCTGAGGCAGGCAGATTGCTTGAGCCCAGGAATTTGAGACCAGCTTGGGCAACGCGGCAAGACCCCATCTCTACAAAAAACACAAAAATTAGCCAGGTGTGGCAGCATGCGCCTGTAGTTCCAGCTACTCAGGAGGCTGACGTGGGAGGATCACCTGAAACCAGTAAGTTGAGGCTGCAGAGAGTCGAGATCACACCACTGCACTCCAGCCTCAGTGATAGAGACCCTGTCTCAAAAAAAAAAAAAAAAAAAAAAGGAGAAGGGAAGTTAAGTAAAGAGTATACAGGAACTCTATGGTTTATATTCATGACTTTTCTGTAAGTCTGAAATTTTTCAAAATGAAAAGAAAAAACGAAAGGATCTTTCAAAATAATTTTCTACCTCCATTGTGAGTATTCTCACATTTCTACTTTTTCTGTTGTCCTACCAAGTATCTCCTTTTTAAAATATTAATCATAACTTCATATAACTCCAAAAACATACCTTTTAATTGCCAAACAAAGGGAACGAGGTGAAAATAAAATGCAGGCAGTAGGGTATCCAGTTACCTAAAGTAAAACATCACCAAGGAACCCTTTGAGCTTTGTCACTTTGGTGAAACACTAAAACCAGCAATACAAGGCTGTGCCTATTAAAAGAAATTTTACGTATCCAAAAATGGATGCCCGTCTTACCTATGTAGGGATAAATTTTCATTGGTCCTCTTTTTCCAGAGCAAAAATGTTTTTTTCTGTTTATCCTGCATAGCTATTGTCGTACCTAGAAATAGTGTTGGTCATGACATATTTCTCTTGTAATTGAGTATACATTTCACTCTGCTGTCTTTTAAAATACTAAGTGTAAAAAACGTGTATCTGGGCTGTGTGCTGTGGTTCACGCCTATAATCCCAGCACTTTGGGAGGCCAAGGCAGGAGGATTACTTGAGGCCAGGAGCTCAAGAGCATCCTGGACAACATAGCCAGACCCTGTCTCAACAAAAAATTTAAAAAGTAACCAGACATGGTAGTGCATGCCTGTAATCTTAGCCACTGGAAAGGCTGAGGTGAGAGGATCGCTTGAGCCCAGGAGTTAGAGTTTGCAGCGAGCTATGATTGAGCCATTGCACTCCAGCCTGGGTGACACAGCAAGACCTTGTCTCATAAATAAATAAATAAATAAATAAATAAATAAATGAATAAATGTATCTGTCCTTTCTTCAGCTTTCGAAAGAATATGTTACTTTGTCACTGTGTGTCCTTTTCAAATTATTCAAATTCTGCATTTTTAGCAGTTTGTGAATGATGTATTATATCTTTAAGATTTAATACTTAAATGCTTAATCCATGAAAATAAAAGATCTAAAATTTTGGTGTATCACTACATTCTGTTATTATAATGTAAGATTTTACATCTTTTTTCAGCAAGAGAACTTTAGCTATGTTTAAATGGCAAACTTCTATAAAGTTTAAAATAAGGTAATTTTATTCTATATAAAATGCTTTTTTGAACATCACTTATTCATTCACTTTTTAATTGTTTACTAAGCACCTTTCTGGGAGAGGCGTATAGGAGTGATCAAATTATATGATTTCCATGCCTTCATGGAGCTTACATTTTATTATATGTGAAAACAACATAAAGTTATTATGAAATTCACAGCTGCTGCATTTTTAAAGGGAGCTGCTTTGTATATTTGAAAATCATTTGAGCATGTACTGAGCAATTCATAGCTTACTTAGAGAATAACATTTTGTCTATTAAATTTTTTAGAATCTTAGAGACTTCCTCCTGTCCTGCCAGCCCTGTTTTCATTATGAAATATTTACTAGCCTCTGTAACACACGGAGATATGCATCATTGATGGGCTTTGGCTTTCATTGCTTACCCTATCGGAACAATTAGTTCATATTGAAAGCCCTGCTTTCCACCAGAACAAGCTTGTTCTTCAACTCTGAGACATTTGCCTTTTGTTACAGATGTTGGCTGAACAGGCGTCAGATCGATGGGTCTTTGAATAGAACTCCCACCGGGTTCTATGACCGAGTGTGGCAGATCCTGGAGCGCACGCCCAATGGCATCATTGTCGCTGGGAAGCATTTGCCTCAGGTAAAGCCCCACCACGTTCACGTAAAGAAAGGGGATTTTGCAAAGGATAGTGAATCCTTTCCTCCTGCCCTGCAAATAACTTTTCTCCTTTTCAGCGTTCTAAGAGTTTTTTCAAAGAAGGGATGAAATACTAGAAAATAAGTCTAATCAATTGGATTGAAAATTGTTTTCCCCAATCTGAGTTACTTTTATTTTTCAAATTTAGTGTCCCTGTAGGCAGAAAAGGCTCACTTTACCAAATGGATATATTGCTGAAAGTTGTATTTAATAAAAAAAAATTATTGGTATTGTCATATTTTAGATATTTTGAGGATATTCCCTTTTAAAAAACCACATGGCCAAACCTCTTGCTGAGCAAGCTGTCCTTCCTTTGTTTACTTACCAGCTTAGAGTTTCCTATATTGGCTTTATTTCAAGCATGGGTATCCCTTCACTACCCCAGGTGGTGGTGGGTCAGTGCTGGGGGGCCTCACAAACAGTAAAGCATGCACTGGAAAGACAGAACCAGAGCAGACCTAAGAAACAGTGGGGCCTAGTAGTGTTGTGGATGAGGAAATCACCACTTAGGAATTGTGTTGAATGTGAAAAATGCAATAACTTTTTAGGTCATTGGACAGATAATCACTTATTTTATTCCAAATGTACCTTACCTGTGGTCCAAGTGAGTTAGTGCCCTCTCCTTCTGATGGTTTCCCATGTGATATACACTGGCCTGCTTCCTTGATATGATTATTTAATCCTGGCATCTAAGTCTTCTACTTATACACAAAAGAGAAGGATTAGCCTTTTGGAAATAGAGTACTGTAATTGTTTTTAGTGTTGAAATCTCAACCAAATAAATTTTGATGTAGCTCTTTATACAAATAAAGTATTCTCAAAGGCACAGACCCACACTCATTTTGCTTGTGTCTACCTAAGAGTGTCTCTGGAAGGACCCATAGGAAACTGGTAGTATTTTTTTCTTAGCCTTTGGTAAAAGGAACTGTGTGACTGGGAGGACGGTGTGGGCTCTTCCCTGGAACCCTTTAAACCTTTCAAAGTTTGAATGCTGTGAATATATTACTTATTCAAAAAAATGCATAAAAATTTTTAAAAAGTATTCTTTATACTGTTCACAGACTGCAAGTAGTTTCATTTGACTGTCAGTGCAGGGCCCAACCTTCTCCTGGGTGCCCTATGATTACTGTTCAGGAGCAGCACCATCTCTTGAGAGCAGAGAGCAGCGCCTCGTTGCTGGAGTTCGAACCCTCTAGCAAGGCCTTCTCTCTGCCTACCTGGGCAGTGCATGCTCACAATCACTTGTTAGCTTCTTTCTCAGCCCCCACTAATACTTACCAGATTTTCATTTAATTGTCTGGCAGCCTGGGCCACGTAACATGTAGTATCCTTGCTTTGCTAATATCCTCTCTTTGCTAAAAATAACAATAATGACAATAAATACATGTTAAGTATTTTTATGCACCAAGCACTTTTCTAAGTGCTCATTTAATCCATTAGACAATCTTTTGAGGCAGATGCTTTGTTATTAGTATTCCAGTTTGACAGAAGAGGACACTGAAACACAGCTAAATGATTTTCTTCAGGTCACACTTGTAGTAAGTAGCTGCCCCAGGGTGTGACCCCTGGCAGTGTAGCTGCTGAGCCTTTTCTCTTCTGTGCTACACTACTTACCCTAAGTCCTTTCAGAAGAGTAGGAAACAAGGCAAGCTTGGTATCTCTTCTCTAGTTGCACAGTAGCTAGGTTGACTTTTTAAATGAGATCTATTAAGAAGAAATTAATGTGAAACCAAGAAAGCGTCTTGCTTTCCTTCTGTAACCCCATTAAGCCCATTGCTAGAGATCTAGCCAGTTATAACTATGTTTAGCAATGGGACTTTGTTTTCCCCAAATTAGGTACTACCTGTAAACATTAATAATAAGTTGGATTATATTGACTATGAAATACAATAGTTAGTTGTATTGAATATCTATTGAATATAGGACTAAGGCATTATTATACCAGGCTGAACAATTTTGCTGTCACTTGATTGAAAGAGAACATTGGGTCCCATTTTGAGTGGTAAGTAGATAAACATGGTTCTGAACCTGATTGAGTTCACTGTAAATTATCATTGAGGTGAAAACAAGTATGTCTCATTATCTCTGCCTCTCTGGTAATGATCTAGTGACCCCATCTGCTTTCCACCATACAAGCTTAATGTTCAGAGCCTTCCCTTCCATCCTCTGAGGAATATTCCCCATGCCCAGATTTGGATTTGAATTTTAGTTTATTTTCTGCTTTCATTTGGATTGTTAAAAATGAATGGAAAACTACACAATGTTCTTGTTTTAAATGAAAGATAAAGGGCAGAGTAGAGGAAACTCCTTTAGCTTCGCTTTTTTCCTGTTTCCTTCCCAGTTCTGCACATATTGTTTTTGCTTGTTTGTATGCACTTTTACGCTGCCAGCTCAGAAAGGAGCTACCACAGAAATGATGTAAATTCAATAGCAGGTGACTTCCGTGCGGGAGCCTGACAGCAAGCCTAACTTCTCATGTAAATTCTGAAAGCAATATGTACACTATTTGTTGTCTCAGTGTTTGGCTATTCCTTTTGTGTATTGAAGTGGTCTTCTAATATAGTCCTTTTCCTCAAAAACATTAATATAGTGAAGGTAACTACTAAAAATGGAAGGTTTAACTTATCACAATAGTCAGCTGGTTGGCTTTAGTAGTTTGACATATATAAAATCCAGTTGTGTAGCTGAAAGTGCTCCCCAAGGTTTTATAAAAACTGAAAACTATTAATGATTAGAAAATGAAATTATTCTGTTAAATGAGAACCAGAGCATAACAGTTCAGCATGTTAATGTGGAGTTATTTTTTTCAGCAACCAACCCTGTCAGATATGACCATGTATGAGATGAATTTCTCTCTCCTTGTTGAAGACACATTGGGAAATATTGACCAGCCACAGTATAGACAGATCGTTGTAGAGGTGAGTAGTAAGAAGTGAAGATTGCTGAAGAAATGCCTTCTCTTTGCTCCCTGAAAACTAGTATAAGGGAAACTGCCTATGAGACCCAGAATCCTATTCTTTCCAGAACGCTGATCTCTCCTATGAGATGCAGAACCCTATTCTTTCTGGAACCCTGATCTTTCCCAGCCGAGTCCTCAAGAAGATGGCCACCCCTAACCCAAGGCAAGGCACACGAGCAATTCAGACACCTCAGGCTCCTCCAGGAAGGGAGAACCGACCCCTGCTTTTCAGCCACACACTCACCCCTCAGCATCAAGTGTATCAGCAGCATCATAAAAGTACAGGAAGTGACCTTTTTCTATCCACTTTGTTTTCATTTTTGTTTTCTATTCACAGAAATAATATACAACTATTGCAGAAAGTTTCAGCAGTTTAGAAAATTATAGAAAATAACATAAAAGTTTACCCCACACTCACTAGCAAGAGATCGTTGCTGTTAATATTTTGAGGGACATCTTTCTAGACATCTCCATATGAAGAGAAGACATGTCATTGCATGCTGTATCTCTGTCCTATATAAAGTTACATGTAAAATTAACAGAACACATATGCCCTCTTGTCATGTTAAACATCACCCCAAATACATAGAGAAGCCGCCAGTTGATGGGTTAATTTTAGCTCATCTGCACTTTGTCTCTTTCCCCAGGAATGTAGCCCTCCAATTTTTGTGTTTCTCAAGGGTAGATAATATGTCTTATTGCTACAGAAGCTCTGTGTGACTGCCAACCTGGACATGGCATCTCCTAAAATCTAGCATGTCTGGAGCTACAGTCAGAGCTGAGTAGATTCAGCCTCCTCTTTGATGTCCCAGGATATGGAACAGTATCAGCCGATCATTTTCACAGCATGAGGCGGAATGGATTGGGAAAAGATGGGGTTATTAGATGGGTGAATGCCTTCCATGTCTAGTACCCAGCATCTGGGACATACAGTGGACATAGAGATCCTTCTTGTTGACCACAGTGAGGTCATTCCCTCTGCAGAAGACATTTTCCTTTAGACCTACAGCAAAACTTCATATTCTCATGGCTAAAGCCCTGCCCTAAGGTTTCCCACATTGTGACCCCTGGATTTTACTGTGTTTCCTTTGGTTCTTTCAGTTTCTGTTTTGGAAGCATCTAGATAAAATACAGTCAGTAAGAATCCCAAATTGGGAATTATGAGGCGTGTTTCCTGTTCAGTGTACAAATTAGGAGCCATAAACATCATCAGAGAGCCTTTACCAATTATTGCATATGCAGATACTATTTTTGTTTATAGGAATTTGGCATCTAAAATGAACATTACCACTTAGGATGGGTGTATGTGATGGCCAAGCAATAGGGTGATTCATTAAACTAAGATAGTTCATACAGACGAAATAGGACTCTTGTCACAGGGGTCACAGTTAAATGTATTTTTTTAAAACATGGCCATCCCTTGAGAAACTACTGTGGCATCACAGACTTATACTCACTTGGGCCCTGGGCTCCAGGTCATTTGATCCTGAACCTAGGTCCAGAGTCTCCATTGAACACACCTGGCTTCTCTGGCTTTGGTTTCTGACCCTTCTCTCCACAGACAATGTTTTGGTGTCTTGCCAACAAGGATTGACACCCAAAGGCCCAGAAAGAGTTCAGACACTTTGGGTGAATAGAGTATCATGTATTATGTACACGATGGGTTAGGAAAGTCATTTTTCTAAGTTAATGGTTTTATTTAACTGACTAAAAAACATTTCTAGGGATACACACAATGAAAAAATAAAAGGTGCACTTTTCAAACAGAACTTACGCAGATAACTTGCAAAATTAGGAAGCTTCCTTCCATAGGTGATCCTTGAGCCTCTCATCATACAGAACATCCTTTGGATCACCCATCCTTCTGATGAAAGGGTGAAAACATGTCACTATTATGGTTCATATAATTGGCTTTCAATGTCTGTCTCTCCTAGTTACTTATGGTTGTATCCATTGTACTGGAAAGAAACCCCGAACTAGAATTTCAAGACAAAGTAGATCTAGACAGACTGGTCAAAGAAGCATTTAATGAATTTCAAAAAGATCAGAGTCGGCTAAAGGAAATTGAAAAACAAGTAAGTAAACAGCGTTTTTGTTGTTGTTGTTGTTGTTGTTGTTTTGTAGAATTTTTTCATTGTCTCAATTCTTTAAAATATCCCTAATGTATTTTCATTTACTTTATAAAACAGATTCACAGGTGCAAAATAGGATACCTGAGGGGCAGTCTGCCTTTTTTGAGGAATTAATGTTACTTTTTAGTTAATTATAGTCAATTCAGCTGTGAAGTTCTAACAAAAAAGAAATCTAGAAAGAGATAAATTTCCTTTATATGGTTAGTGTAAAAATGTTTTATCAGAGAGGAAGCATAGACTCCAGAAGGCTATAAAATTAAATTCTGGGGACAATAAGAATGCAGTGACAGGCTATGTTGCTGCTGTGTACTGCCTAATATAGGCCCTTCCAGGTTCTCTGTTTAATATTTTATGTTCAACTGTAAAGAGGTTCTCTAAGTAAATAAAAATTATCAACGAAGGAGAGAATACTGAAAATGTCTTTGTTTTATATGCACCTCAGGAAAATGAAAGAAAAGCTCAGGAATCTCATATTTTCCATAGGGAAATCTTTATGTGAATATATTTTTCCCCCTAAGATGACACTGATTTTACCTGTCAACTCTTTACAAACAGAAGATCAAATGCCTTGCTTACTATTTTCCTTTGTAGGATGACATGACTTCCTTTTACAACACTCCTCCCCTGGGAAAAAGAGGAACATGCAGCTATTTGACAAAGGCGGTGATGAATCTGCTGCTGGAAGGAGAAGTCAAGCCAAACAATGATGATCCGTGTCTCATTAGCTAGTGGGGAAGGTGTAGGAAGCTCTGTTGAGACATATGTTCTGAAGTGTGTTGTGTTTCGTGTTCAAGCTTAATCAAGGCAGCCATTAATGTACAAACTGAGCATGCTGGGGAGCTGATTGCCACATCCTTGGCAGCATTGTGGACCTCTTGCATGTCATAGCCAATTTAATGGTAATGGTAAATGCTTTTAATCAAACATGAAAAAGTTCTCATGATTATGCCAGCTACAATAGTAATCCTCACTAAGTGATAAAAATAGTTTATGAATTGAAAATTTGCCACTACATGTTTTATGATCAAATAGTTCATCAAAATGAATCTTTGCTCTTTGGAATGAATTATTACCATACTGCCATTAAAATAAATTTGCCAACTAGTAATGCATACTGGAAATCAAAAGATATTGAAAGAATGGTGAACTTCTCTTAGTGGTATTGTCATGCTAAAAGATGTTAATATACATCATAAAAGCAAAGTCAGCCAGCTGATATTTTGGTTCTCAAAAACTGCATTATTAATAATATTTTAGTATATAGAGATATTCTGCAATTTTTACATTGTAAACATGACTATGGTTTTGTATTTGCTAAATATAGGGGTTGGACTAAAATATAATAAATCTGTACCTTATCAAACATTTTCTTTGAGCTCCTGCTAAAAATAGGACATGTCTATGATTGTTCAGAAATATGTTAAATTTAGGCTCGGCACGGTAGCTCACACCTGAAATCCCAGCACTTTGGGAGGCTGAGGCAGTTGGATCACTTGAGGTCAGGAGTTCGAGACTAGCCTGGCCAACACGGTGAAAACGCTGTCTCTACTAAAAATACAAGAATTACCCAGGCATGGTGGTGCATGCCTTTAAACCCAGCTACTGAGGGGGTTGAGGCATGAGAATTGCTTGAACCAGGAGATGGAGGTTGCAGTGAGCTGAAATCATGCCACTGCACACCAGTCTGGGTGACGGAGCAAGACTAAATCTCAAAAAAAAAAAAAAAGAAAAAGAAATATGTTAAATTTAAGGACTGTTAACCTACTTTGTACTAGTAAAAACAACATTAAGAGTCATTAAATTTTATTTCTGAATTAATGAACGTATCTGGACACATTCTTTGTTCCTAGGTTCACAAGATTGAGCTTAAAACTCCTGAGTGTTTTCATTTAATTGGTTTAGAGGTAGAATGGAAGAGAATCTATGGTACCTACCATTATACACATTTAGTTGCCCAGTTTACTTAAACTTTAATAAAAGTAAAAAGTAGATTAAACATTTAAATTTTCTTTCTTTCTTTCCTAAATAGAAAAAAAAAAAAGGTCCATGAGTTTGAGCCCTTGCCCCAAACAAAGTTGTTTTTCTGATCAGTCTTACTGGTGTTTCACCTGAGAAGATAGATTTGCCACATGACAAAATGCAGCTTATTTGTAGAGTTTTGAAAGGATGTAAGAAAGAATGAGTGGCTTCAGTATCGAGTCAATTGATGTCAAATAAATGGATGCATGAGCACATGGAAAAATCTGCTGTCAGTCACATTTCTCACAACATTGCGGTATAGTGCCGAGATCTTGCATAAGAAATTCTATGGATATTAGTTGGCAAAATTGAGATGAATGAGACACAGTTGGACCCTAAAGAACTAAGGAGGGGGATATGACAAAGAATAGAATTAAACTATCTGACTCAATGTGTTAAGGGAGTTTATGAAAAGATACTCATGAAGGGTGAAGCTAATTTGTGAAACTTACACCTGAAAAAACTTAAGCATGAAGCCCATGGAGAGGGAATTGAGAACTGACACTTCATAACTGGGGAAACTGGAAATTAAAGAAAGGAAAGACTTAAAATTTTTGTTTGCCAAAATTTGTAGGAAAGTAAACTGTGTTGTAATTTTAAGAATCTTTTTAAAAAATCTGATTAGCTGAGCAAAGTTACCAGAAAACTGTTATCCTAGTTGAAATCAAACATTATTTGCAAATGTGTTTTCTGAGTGATAGCTTCCTGCTTAAATGTTACATATGCAAAATTCTGAAGTTTTCCTGTGCTACTACTGAAAGCATTCAGAATCTGTGACATGTATTGACTTTGTGCTTTGATATTCAAAATTTATTGTTCTGAAAGTTATATTTAGAATCAGTAAATCTTGATGTTCACCTTTACAAAAGCCAATGCCTGTTTTCTAATTAGAAAAGCAAAAAATAATAAGAATTAGAACACAGAACTCATATGAAATTTAGAAGTCTCATTTGGTCTACAGAGCCCAAAATACTTTAACAGCTGCACTAGAGACCGACAGAAAATATTAGCACATTTATTTAGGCATGACAAGATTTAAATCTGATTTAAAGCCTCCTCTATCACAATGGCAGATTCACTGCATAAGTTTATTGTACAAGCAACGTCTGTTGGAAACTCTTGACTGAATATCAAATTCAGCTACATTTTCAGAGCATCATTTTAAGAAACAGGGTGTTTTCCAGATTTTCTGCCATGTTATTTAAGCCTGAAAACATCATATTTCAATTTTTAAAAATCAAAATGGGGAAACAACCAATAACAAAAACCACATGATTATCTCAATAGACGCACAAAAGGCCTTCGATAAAATTCAACACCTCTTCATGCTAAAAACTCTAGATAAACTACGTATTGATAGAATATATTCAAAAAAATAAGAGCCATTTATGGACAAACCCACAGCCAATATCATACTGAATGGGCAAAAGCTGGAAGCATTCCCACTGAAAACTGGCACTAGAAAAGGATACCACCTCTCACCACTCCTATTCAACATAATGGAAGTTCTGGCCAGGGCAATCAGGCAAGAGAAAGAAATAAAGGGTATTCAGATAGGAGGAGAGGAAGTCAGACTGTGTCTGTTTGCAGATGACATGAGCCTGTATCTAGAAAACCTCATCGTCATCTCAGCCTAAAAGCTTCTTAAGCTGATGAGCAATTTCAACAAAGTCTCAGGATACAAAATCAATGTGCAAAAATCACAAGCATTCCTATACGCCAACAATAGACAAGTAGAGGGCCAAATCATGAATGAAGTCCCATTCACAATTGCTACAAAGAGAATAAAATACCTAGAAATACAGCTAACAAGGGGAGTGAAGGACTTCTTCAAGGAGAACTACAAACCACTGCTCAAGGAAATAAGAGAGGACACAAACAAATGGAAAAACATTCCATGCTCATGGATAGGAAGAATCAATAATGTGAAAATGGCCATACTGCCCAAAGTAATTTATAGGGTCAATGCTATTCCCATTAAACTATCATTGACATTCTCCACAAAATCAGAAAAAATGTACTTTAAAATTCGTATGGAACCAAAAAAGAGCACATATAGCCAAGACAATCTTAAGCAAAAAGAACAAAACTGGAGGCATCACACTACCTGACTTCAAACTATACTACAAGGCTACAGTAAGCAAAACAGTATGGTCCTGGTACACATAGACCAATGGAACAGAGTAGAGGTCTCAGAAATAAGACTGCACATCTACAACCATCTGATCTTCAACAAATCTGACAAAAACAAGCAATGGGGAAATGATTCCCTGTTTAGTAAATAGTGCTGGGGAAACTGGCTAGCCATATGCAGAAAATTGAAATTGGACCTCTTCATTGCACCTTACACAAAAATTAAATCAAGATCAATTAAAGACTTAAATGTAAAACCCAAAACTATAACAATTCTAGAAGAAAATCTAGGCAGTGCCATACAGGACATAAGCATGGGCAAAGATTTCATGATGAAAACATGAGAAGCAATTGCAGCAAAAGCAGAAATTGACAAATGGGATCTCGTTAAATTAAAGAGCTGCTGCACAGCAAAAGAAACGATCATCTCACACCAGTCAAAATGACGATTATTAAAAAGTCGAGAAAAAACAGATGCTGGTGAGATTATCAAGAAAAGGGAACCCTTATACACTGTTGGTGGGAGTGTAAATTTGTTCAGCCATTGTGGAAGACAATGTGATTCCTCAAAGACCTAGAACCAGAAATATCATTTGACCCAGCAATGCCATTACTGGGTATATACCCAAAGAAATATAAATCATTCTATTATAAAGATACATGTACGCCTATATTCATTGCAGTGCTATTCGCAATAGCAAAGACATGGAATCAACCAAATGCCCATCAATGATAGACTGGATAAAGAAAATGTGGTACGTATACACTGCGGAATACTGTGCAGCCATAAAAAGGAACAAGATCAGGTCCTTTGCAGGGACATGGATGGAGCTGGAAGCCATCATCCTCAGCAAACTAACACAGGAACAGAAAACCAAATACTGCATGTTCTCACTTATAAGTAGGAGCTGAACAATGAGAACACATGGACACAGGGAGGGGAACATCACATACTGGGGCCTGTTGGGGGTGGGGAGGAGGGAGAGCGTCAGGATAAATAGCTAATGCATGTGGTACTTAATACCTGGGTGATGGGTTGATAGGTGCAGCAAATCACCATGGCACACGTTTACCTATGTAACAAGCCTGCACTTCCTGCACTTGTGTTCCAGAATTTAAATTATTTTAAAAATCGGAATGTGGGATCAGCTTGATGTCATCTTCAATATGTTATAAGCCTGTGGTGCCTTAATCACACCAAATAACATTTATTGAACAGCTGAATACATTTAGCTTTTCACCAAAACTCTTAAACAGTAAATTCAGGGCCAGGTGTGGTGGCTCACACCTGTAGTTCCAGCCACTCAGGAGGCTGAGGCAGGAGGATTGCTTTAGTCCAGGAGTTGGAGGCTGTAGTGAGCTAGGGTCACCATTGCACTCTAACCTTGGTGAAAGAGCAAGACTCTTGTCTCTTAAAAAAAAAAAAGTGATTCAGATACTTTAAGCCTTTGTGAGCATGTATATTAAATAGATGGCATATGAAAGTGCATATTCACACTTCACAATGTGGAAACAGTTATAGCAGCACAGAAAGACCACATTTAAATCAAGAACAGGTTGGAAGTAGCATGTAGCAGTATGCAGCCATATAATAAAAGTCCCCCATCTCAGAAACTAAAAACATGAATGAAAAATGAGGCAGAATGGACCAGCAAAACCATACCGGCAGCATTCAAACAAAGGAAGCGGGTAGTACAGCCTCACACCATAAACTCTGAAAAGCAGCAGTGGACAAAAGACCTACTAGAATTAGAATTTGACTCCTATACTCTGGCTTCCTAGAAGCTGTGCATGGGCAAGGACAAGATGAGTTAATTTGTGAAAAATCAAATGCATTTGGAGGGAATCAGATGCCTATTGAGTCGGCACCTAGGGGAGAAGTCAGAAAGTGTTTCTCCAAGGTGGAAGCTCCTCCCCCACCACACATACCATCATCCGGCATCATATAGCAGGGCTACTGCCAGCCCATGCTCAGCCCTGTGTGTGAGTGAGTGGCATCTTTGTACAGAGAAAGGTCCTTTCTCTGAGCCTATGCAACCCCACACCAGGACACATGGCTCAGAGTAAACTGGATTTCAGCCCCCAGCTGCATTCTCACTGGCTCCCTTATGCAGTGCACCAACCTCATGACTGTCTCAGACCTGCTCCCCAAGGAAGGGAAAGCTGTCGGGAGTGGCATTCTGACTCTGTCTGGAAGGGAGGCAGATGAGGAGCAAGGCTCCCCAGAACTCACTGTCTCCAATGGCAGGTGGTCCGGAGCTGGTCCTGACCAGGCTTTTATTACCGGAGAGGGTGGAGCTTATGAGGAGTGGTGATTGGAGTTGACTGTCCCCTCTTCTTATTTTTTTCTGTAATGTTTAAAACTGGACAGAATTCACTCTGCCTAATCCAGGGCATATCCTGTTTCCCAGGACAGCATCTTCCAGTGTGAGTGTTTCTGCCAGACAGGGTAAACTTTTTCACTTGTGACAGAAATGCTTAGCCTCGGGGATAAATCCCACCTCCTTCGATCACATCTCTCCGGAAGTTTCTTCTCCTCTCCTCCCAGCCAGGGAAGAAAAGTGGGGGAAACAGATGGCTTTGGAGCTTTCCTCCTCACGGGAATGGGGAACTTAGGGCAGGGCTGTCCGTCAGTCCCTTTCCCCTCTGTTCGGTTGGTTCTTGTGCTGGTGCTTTTTCTCTTTGAGTTCTCTGTCTTCTGAGGACTGCATATTCCTGACTTGTGTCTATACTGTCTAAAAGGAAGGGACTCAGCTGGAAGCAGCTTGGAGAAGACCGAAGAGTTCAGGGTGGGTGGGAGAGTTTCAGAGACCACCCACACTGTAACTGAGGACCCACAAGGCTGCTGTGCAGCCATGAGAAAGATGCAAAGAAACTGTCCATCAACTATTTATTTGTTTTTTGTAGAGACAGGGTCTCACTATGTTGCCCAGACTGGTCTCTTACTCCTGGCCTCAGGTGGTCTGCCCACCTTGGCCTCCCAAAGTGCTGGGATTAGGTGTGAACCACCATACCCAGCCTTATGCCTGTAAACAATGTAAATAATACTACAGGAAAAAAAGGATAGATATAGAACCCATTCTGAAAGAAAATTTAGGAAATAGAACATCCTCCACATCAAATGCCCGATAGTCTAAAAGAAATTGAAGAGAAAAGGGATCAATGAAAAAAGAAGTCAAAGACAAAATAAGACACCACAATAAAATAGAAAGAAAACTTAGAGCTAAGGAAATGAGTTTCACAAATTAGAAATAGCAAAGAACAAAATACACACAGCTAAAAAATGAGTTGCCAACACACAGAACCCTTGAGATAATTCAGTCAAGTGCTTATTGACATCATCTATATGCACCTGACACTGTTCTGGCACAGGGTTAAAAAAAAAATCCCTGTCCTTGTGGAGCTATGTTCTCACTGAGGTGAGGACACGGGTGGCGTGTACTGATGATAAATGCTGTGGAGGAAAATAAGGCAGTATGAGGAGGAAAGAGTGACATAGGTTATTAAGTTTCCTGGAGTTGTGGGAAGGCCTCTGATAAGGGGATATTTGATCAGATGGACAAAAATAGAGATGGGGGGTAGACAAGATTGATAAACATAAACAAAACTGGTGGGTAGAGAAGCATACGAGATTGGCACAGAAAAAATTCAAATAAATGATGTTTTCCCTAAATAAAGAACTAAATCTGCAGATCAGGGGAACACATCATATTTCAGAAAAATTTAATAC